GGTGATCACCACCATGCCCAGCTAAGATATATATATATTAATATATTTATTTATATTTTAGAGACAGAGTCTCACTCTGTTACCCAGGCTGGAATGCAGTGGTGCAATCACAGCTCACTGCAGCCTTGAACTCCTAGAATATATATTTTAAAACCTTAATATGTATATGGATGTTTTCTTTCCCCAAAGGCTTTACATTGTTTAGCCTTATAACAACCTTGGGAGGAAAGGTTAGTATTATCCCTCTTTTATACCTATTTTTACAGCTAAGGCCATTTCCAGATAGATTTTCATTTATTACAGTTATGAAGTGGGATGCATGGATTTGGATTTATGACAGGCCCATCCCCCTGGGCCTCTCATAGTGCCCCGTGCCAGAGCAAACTGTTTCCCTGAACCAATGTCTGGCCTCTGTGCCCATAGGCTGCTGGTGCTGAAGTGGGTTGAAGAGTGGATAAAAGAAAAAAGAATTATGATGTAGAATGATGAAAAGTATATTAAAGTACCAGGTTCTACCAGAAGTGGGAGTGATTTGAGCAAAGTTTAGAAAGAGCTTCCTTTCAGGGAATACTGTTTTTCCCTTAGGGTCTAATACCCTACCTTATACATAGCGTGTGCTATCTAAAAATACTTTTTAGTGAATGGACTAGAGCATTTAGCAGCTTCTTTAATTCTCATTTAAAAATTCACGTTTCTTTGTCTCAGTGTGCCAATTTGTAGAAAAAAATGAAAATTTAAAAATAAATTCACATTTCTGTCTAGTAATCGGTAAATCAGGTGATGAGTCACATTTGCTTCCTTTTCCCAATGTCCAAACATAAAAGTAGAGAAATAATGAATTGTTAGGTAAATCAGAAAATGGGGCCTCCTAGGCCTTACATTTTCTGCTTAACCTCCTTAGACAAAATCTAAAATAATAACCATCCATTTTACCAATGTGAAAATGGAGGCACAGAGATGTTAGTTAGTTGCCTAAGATCAATATAGTTTAGTAACAGATAGAGCTGGATTCAAACATGACTCCCAAGTTCACATGTATAGTCACTATATTATATGGCTCTCAGTGGCTCAAACTTTTAGCCACATATTAAATAGGAATTGTCAATTAAAAGACATATGCAATTCCTATGGTCCCTTACTCTTCAAGTTTGGGTCTGAAAAAGAAATTATTTTGGTTTTTCCCTACATGACCCTCAAAATCTATACCACATTACTAAATCTACTATCAACTTCTGCTTTTTGGTATGATTCTCCCTTTATTATTTATATTTCAAATTCATGTGTTCAATAAACATTTGAGTCTCTACTGTATTCTAGGCATTGTTCTAAGCAATGGGACTATAAAGATGGCCAAGTTTATTTAATATCCAATCTTATTCCAAAAATAATTTGAGACTAGCCTTAAAAAAATTTGTTTTTGGAGTGAACTAAGATCTCTAAGACACCATCCTTTCCCTCATAGAACTCACAATCTGCTGGAGATATTTCACAAATAATTACAATGTGACAAATGCCTGGTAATAGAACTATTTCACAAAGAACTTTACCTTTGATCAGAGTCTTAAAGATTACTAGGTGGTACGCTGGAGAATGATGGAGAGAGGGAATGTTTTGTGAAAGCAAGAAGACACAAAACAGCAGGATATAGTTTGGTGTGGCTGAATAAAAAGGTACATTTTCTTGGAGTATAGTATATAAGTCAGAGAAGATGAGGTTTAAAAACGTAGACAGAGGCCCTCTTATAGCAATGTCTCTTGATTTTTTAAAAAAATCTTTCTTAACATCATTTGTTGTTTTAAAAGAAAAACAAAGAAATGAATTCAAAGGGAAAAGGCCTAGACAAACTTCCAATGGTCTCAACTATCTCGAAAGTACCTAAAGAAGGACCCAAGTTGCCAGAAATCAGACAGGGAGGCCTGGAGTTTAACAAAATGCAGGATCTTATCTTCGAAAAACCTACAAAGCAGACCATAGTAACTACAGAGACACTGAAGAAAATTCAGATGGACAGGTAAGGAAGGAGCATCTTTGGCAATGTAATAATGTATTTATACATAGATAAGAGAATGGGTGCAAGATTGACTTACTGCTCTCTTCTCTTGTGGGTTAGTCATTACCATATATCCAAAATGACTGCTGGGAATAGGATTAGCTAAAGACTGGCTACAGGCAGTGTGGTACAATATAAAGCATGGCAGCTGTGTGAGCCTGGACAATTATTAAACTTTTGTTTCCAATTTTTATTTATTTTTTAGAGCCGATGTCTTGTTGTGTTGCTCAGGCTAGAATGCAGTGGTTATTCACAGTCAGGATCATAGTGCATTGCAACCCTTGACTGCCTACTCTCAAGCAACCCTCTTGTGAGGCTGAGACAATAGGGATGCTCTATGCACCGGATATTTCCAATTTTAAAAAACGAGACTACTATGGAGGGGTTTGCTACGCCCCCGATATAACCGGGTCCCCGGGCAGTGTGCACTGCAAGAGATGGGAGAGACAAAGGCACGGACACAAAGAGTAAGGCGAAAGGGTCCGGGGAGGTCAGGGGATCACCAGCATTCCCGTGAGCCAGGTGGTACTGACTGAAATCTAGCACCCGTTTTTATTCTTTTTTTCATGCTATAGATTACAATGATTTCACATGAAAAGCTCATGAGTTACAATATGTAGAAGTTTCAAGTCTCCCCTAATAGTCTCAAGATGTCTTAGCTAATTACTCTTTTATCTATAGAAGCAGGAACACACAACTCGTTACTAAGCACAACTACACCTTAAGGTACGTATAGATGGTATCTCTGAACTCAGCAACTGTGGCCCATTCGATAGAGGAACAAAGAGATTAGTACTTCTCATTGGGAGGGTAGCTCCCCATTAACTGAGGCATTCTACTGAGAAAGGGGAGGGAAGGAACTCAATCTGGTGTTTTTTAAGAGTTGGAGCCTGGCATACCTTCTCCCGGGCTGACGTTTTACAATCTTCCTTTACAGCGGTGGGTGGCTTTCATGTCAAGCCACTCTGAGACTTTTTAGGCATGAGGCCCCTCAGTCTTTAAGGTGGGAGTCTGCTTTGCTGTATTCCCAGATCGCTGGAATGTCCCCCAACTAGGCAGTTAACTTCTGCCCTTATCTCTAGCTCCTGCTCAGGCAGCATTCCTTCACCTCCTCTCCTCCCACGGCCTCAGAAATGCAGTCCCTAAGCCCCAGTGGTCTTATTCCCATCACACTACTAATAGCGATCTTGCAACATTCATGTGAGGATTAAAAATAAGGCACTAGCCTGTTACCTGGCACACATTGGTAGCTATTGTGATGCTTTATCCATTAAAAAGAAACAGCTACTATCAAAGTAGCCAAATTCTAAACTGTATTTTAATCCTGAGGAGTTCTTAAAGGCAGATGCAGTTTCCATTGTCTCATTGTTCAGTTTTTTCTTTTCAACTGGCTTGCTAACAAAGAAACCTGTTAAGTTTAAAAGAGGGTGTAACATTAATGTAAGGACTTTGGATAAATGAGAGTTTATAGCAATTACCTAGTCTGAAGTCTGTTTTTGAAAAGTTTTGTTGGAACACAGCATTGCTCATTTGTTTACACATTGTTTATGACTGCTTTCATGCTACAGTGGCAAAGTTGACTAGCAAAAGTGCACTTATGGCCTACAAATCCCAAAATATTTACTACTTACTTGTCCATTTATAGAAAAAATTTGCTGACCCCTTTATTAGACCATGACCAAGAGTAAACTCTCTTACTTAAGTCAGTCTGGCCCAGAGTTGCCTGTGTGACTGAAGGGTATTGTGCTTATAAAATGCCCAAACTAGTGAATATCCTTTTCATTCTCAGTGTAATGGCCCATGCCTTTTCCTGAGAGATCCAAAATACCAGTCTCAGATTATTTTTATGGAATTAATCTCAGATTTATATTCCACATGAAACCCAGGGTGATGTATAATAATGAAATGTACATCCCCACCAGTTATTCAGAATCAAAGTACAAATCAAAATATCAAGGGCATAAAAACTATGAATTTAAAATGAGAATTTGTAGCAAGTTTGTATATGCTTTCCTTGCTATTGGTCATCTTTATGCATTATAATCTTATTGCACTGAATTAAGAATTTTAAATTATTTTATCATAAATAATACTATCAGAAGACAAAATTAGGCCGGGCGCGGTGGCTCACGCCTGTAATCCTAGCTCTCTGGGAGGCCGAGGCAGGTGGATTGTTTGAGCTCAGGAGTTTGAAACCAGCCTGAGCAAGAGCGAGACCCC